CTTTTTTTACGCCGACAGCTAATCACAGAGTGTCTATCCGATTATGGATAACGTCTAAAAAAAACATCTCAGAAGACGTCACGAAGCACAAGAAACCATCAAATAACATTTAAAGCAGAAGTATCTGCAGTGTAAAGTTAAAATCTACGGTTGTATTGGAAATATTCTGTACAAACATCTGCAGAAAGAGCAGGGTTAGATTTTTCACACTGAGAACAGAGCATTAGTTGTAGTTTGTTAAGATGATCTTAATGGTAACACAATAGTAAAACTGACCTGTCTGCAGAGGATGATAGTCGAACTTCTGTTCGAGAGACTGAGTCGACCAGGATCCTTTGTGGTAAAACTCAACTTACGATTGACACACAACTCAGACAACCACACTTCAGAGGTGTAAACCATTACTACCTTTACTTTTAACTAAAACAATCATATGTATGTGAATCAAACAGTTACTCTTAGACAATACCAAAGTAAGAGATCAGAGTTTTTTATTTGGAGGACAAATTTCTTTGTCATCTATAAATACCAACAATAACCTAGTAATAGTTTAATCTTTTTATATCACCCACCACAATTCAAGTACAATCCATTCAGCTCCACATATTACATCAAATCTACGAAGGCTGACTGATCTGTCTCAGTTTGTCAATGATTACCTACATCCTGAACTGAATGAAAACATTGAAATGAAGTTAGAGAGTATAAATGTCTAATTGATTAGTTACCTAGAGACTCAAGCTCTAATGTGGTTGTTGTTTCACAATAGATCTTTGAATGGCAATTTTTTTAACAGAGTTTAATCATCTCTTAGAGGGATAGTACAGCTATCCCACTAACAGCTGCTGCTGATTCTTCCCACCACCACCACTGGAGTTAAATGAAGCATGGGAACCAGAGTAAACGACCAAGACTGGGAACCCACACTGTTACTGGCACCATAGCAATAAAAGGACCACCAGTTCTAGCTTATTATGACAACTTTGGCTGCATGTCGAGCACTTCTTACTCCATGAAGCTCGTCCTCCACAGAGAGGTGACAGGTTCAGGTAAGGATAAGTAAAGGGGAAATACTGCTGATGCTGCAAAGAATCAGATTCAGATCATGCCTGTTCATGGAGTTTGAACTTTAGCCTGTTAATACCTAATTAACAGGTTAATGTGCAACATGTATAACTCTGCTGATTTTTATTGATTTAATAATGTATTGACTTTAACTGCGCTCTCTCCCTCCTGTCTAATCAAAATGAGACACGGCACGGAGCTTAAAGTACTAGTGTAATTCACTTTAAATTCCATAAACCAGAATAGAGACCAGAACAAGAAGACCTGTTCACAAACAGGGATGGGGGAAAAGTAAACAAAGGTCATCATAACCTACAGCATGTATGAACAGTGTGCCTATACCATGTTTAATATGGTGGCAGAGCTTCCTGTGCATCTGATGCATAGACTTCTTGCAGTGACGCTGAGTCTGAGGACAGAGAAAAAAGTCCAAATAGTCTCATGTAGACCATTACTTTACAGGAATAGGTTTAAACCATGTAGTCAGTGTTATAATATTAATATTAATATTAATAAGATGACACACTTTAAAAAAAATGGAAAACAAACAAACAAAAAAAACCATCAATTTGCATATCACATTTTTATTTATGAAAACCAAAGCTTTGTACGTTCTTTTGATACCTTTATTAATAACATATTTATAGGATAAAATTATATTGGGAGCTTGAAAATTTTACAAAATTTGAGAATAAAATACTGTCAGGAAGAGTTTGCAGAGATGCAACATGTCTAATATCAACAGGATCCTCCTGATTCTCATTATGGTCCCTGCATCTTCCTCTCCATACGACCCCTCCTTCAACACTGTTTTCATCAACATGATCACTCCTTCATTTTTAAAACATAGGAAACCCTCTCTGTCAAAAAAACACCTGATTTATGTCCTGATACCTGTGGGAGACAAGGAGAGGGAGAGAGAGAGAGAAGAGGTAGAAGAAGAAGAGGCATCAACATCATATTCTCTAGGAGAGAATCCCCTGCTTCTTAAATTAGTCTGATTCTCTGAATCATGCACTCCCAATCTCTTACATCCTAAAACCTCACACACCTACACACACGCACACATGCACACACACACGTCAGACTGTGCTTATGCTAATGCAATTAAACACTGAGGGAAGGAGGGAAGCAGAGAGGAGGCGGCCGGGCTGATGCTGATGAGCTGAACAGAGAACATTACATTACCATCACAGACGGGGGAGGAGAGAGGGGAGAGAGGAAGACGAGGGGATTTCTGAGGAGAGAAAACAATGAGAGATGGAGGAGGAGGCGAAAAACCTAAGGAGGAGATGAGGGAGGAAGGAAAGGAAATGAATGTTTGTTGAACAGAAAAGAGAAAAAGATTCACTCACCACATCCTGATCAATACAGGTGTGTGTGTGTGTGTGTGTGTGTGTGTGTGTGTGTGTGTGTGTGTGTGTGTGTGTGTGTGTGTGTGTGTGTGTGTGTGTGTAGGGGAGAGAGAAGCACAGAGCAGACTGAAACACAAGTTGCCAACTTCAACAGGCTGTTTTTTTTTTATCACTGAAACATTGTTGAAGATTTAATTGATCTGAGGGCAGCTGACATGTTTCACCAACAACAATGAATGAGCTATCACCCCTGACCTCCTGAGAAGAAGCTTTTAGCTCAGGATTGGTTAATAGAGGTGAAAATACAATAACTTTATGGACCCCACTACTCATAGAATAGCGTTAATGAGCCCAAACAAAGTTAGCGTGCTACAGTATCGGACAGTAGAAACCAACCAGAAAGTACAGAAAATTGTCTGAATCCTCCTTTGGCCACGACTTCCAACACAAGCAAGAAAACAAAGTAAATACTAGAGACTGGCGGAATAACAGGTGCTTAAAAGGAAGGTAGACTGGACAAGAGCTAAAAAGCTGGGTCAACATCAGCATAAACGATGGGGGATGCTTTTGGGTCTTACGGACCCTGTAACCTTTCTGCTGGACAGGTAAACCGCTTTAACAAAGTAAGGCAAGTGTCTGTCACAGAAGTGTTTCTTTTCAAACGGGACCTGCTGCGTGTTGTAGCGATGCTAAACTGTTTACATCCAGTTCTGGAATCTGTCACTTGATCCTAGTTGTAGAAGTCCTGCAAACATTGTGTTTGCTGGTAGTCTGTTGGCATCTACAGTAGCACCAATGCTTTTTACTTTGTTGACAGGGCTCCATTTTTAATCATCTGAAGTACTTATCTGCATAATATCTGGATTTAATTGAAACGATATGAGTGAGCAGGAGCGTCTGTTTGTGGGCGGGGCTTGCTGGAGTAGAGACGGAGGGGAGAGGAGGAGCTGAGGGGAAAACTGGTTGGGAGAGGTAGTGTTTACATTCAAGATTTCTCCCAAAAACTGGCACTTCATCAGATCCTGCCTACCCCACCTTTAAGACCAATAACAGAAACACCACAGAGATAAACAAAGGCTGGCGGTCTGACACAGCCCGAATGAAGAAGATGCTGAAAAAGTGTAAAATAAAACCATATTCAAAAGTCCAAACTGCACATGGCATTGTAATTGTTTCATTGATATGGTATACTTTAAAGGGAAGATGTGGTGACTGATGATTGACACAGTGATTATTGCTACTGCTTTTTTCCATCCCCTGACCCTGTTCGACTTTTAACTTAGACTAAATAAGACTATTTTGAAATAACAAATATTTTAAAAATAAAATCACATAAGGGTCACACTACAGAGTGTTTAAAAACACTCTTTTGTGATAATTTCATTTCAGTTGGCAGTCTGTTCCACATTTACAAGCTGTCATAGAAAAAAGGTCTTTCAATGAGTGGTTTTAACATTTCCTCCAGCTCTGCTCCTGCTGTTTTTTCCACTGTTTAACCTCATGAGAATTTGCATAAAGCTTCCTGCACTAAATTTTGTGGGCAATTAAAAACAGTTAAAGGTAGATGAATTTAGAAATGAATATAAAAATGAGCAAATGACTCTGATTCAGGATGCAACAGTTATACCATCTCACAGGGTTTTATCCAATATGTTCACCGCTTGGTTTTTCAAAGTTGCAACAGATTTAATTATGGTTAATTATGCTGCACACATAATAAGACATGTGTTTTTTTTAATACAGTTTCTCTTCTTTTTCTTTTTTTTTCTTTTTGCCTTTTTTTCTGTTAAAAAGCTCTTGCTTTGTCAGTAACTTGGGTCCTCTGCTTTTGTTGGCACATGGAAAAAAGGGCAGACAATCCACAACAGCCTGGATGAGGAGAAACATGCAGCAAATGCTCTGACTATACAAATACTGATACATCTGCCGAGGTCCAAAACAAACAGAGTTCATGCAAAACAGAAAAATCCAACAACAACAGAAAGTTCAACTGAAGAAAGAAAAGTCACAGCAAAACTCCGCATAAGTAAAGCAGGAGACACACTGCACAACTTTCAGAATCTTTCCAGATTTTGTAAAGACTAGGAGTACACACTGCCAGACTGGTTTTAGCAGATTTTTGTATGAAGACTGAGAGGCTGGGGATTACAAAGTGCCCCTGATGAGGAATCACAGACAACATAATTTGTGAAACCAGCTAAAGCCAACTGAACACATCAAATTCTCCTGAGGGCAACGGTCTCAAGTCGACAAGAGTAAACATACATACCAGTTGGTGGCAGTAATGCATGAATTTGTTCTTTGCCAACCGCCAGTCAAACTTAAGGAAGAAGAGGAGGAAAAAAGAGGAAGTAGACAAACATGGATGACAAATGGCTCGCTGCTGCTGTTGTCTGCACAGCCATTAGCTCCTGCTACTTCCCAGTGTCTCCTTACGCAATTTTCTGAGGTTAGAAACATGTGTTTGCAGCTGGGTTGGTAAGTAGCTCACACAACCCGATTGCACTCAGATTTGGCTTAAAGTATTCAAACATGTTTGACGTGACTGAGGGTTGGGTCTGTTCCCATCACACACTGCCAGATTTTGTGCCAACTAGCCATGCCAACTGTCCCCAGCTGGTCCAGACTGGTGCAGACTATGCCCAACTGGAAATCGTGAGTAAAATCTGGCAAAAAAAATAAGATAAAGTAAAACAAAATTGTGAAGTGTGTCCTCAGCTTCAGACACAAGAGAAAGAATGCAATGAGAAAAGCATAAAGGTTGTTTTTTTTCTTTCATTTTAATCATATTTTGTTCCAAACTGGTAAATGAAGTCAGCTCAGCTGGTGTTGATTTTAAGGTTCTAAGTGGGAAGCCGCTGATCTAAGTGTCTATATACTAAGCAGATAAAGCAGCTCCAGCTGCTGCTCAGACTTTACGCTTTAATATTCACTAACAGCTGAAAAATGCAGAAAACTGTGCAGACAAACACATTATCATTAATCTATATGCAGACATGAACACCCACAGACACCCACAGCAGCCCTGCACTCACTTATAAGACCTCTGCACACCCACACAAACACACAGGGATACACACTCCTATGCAAATACCTCTCAGTTAAAGTGCAGTATATGTACCACACAGAGTGCTCTATAATATGGTCTCTCTGTGAAAACACTGTATATAACACTCTGATTAAAATAATTATACTGTATATATGCACACACTCTCAATATATAATCCCATCTGCAGACATGGAAGTGTGTACATATTTATTTCTCCTCTGTGTATCTGCAACTGTAATGTAAACGGTGAATATCATCAGTGACATCACTCTGCAGTGAATCAGCTGATCTGTCTGCCATTTCTCTGTTTGTGCAGAAAGTCTTCCTTCCACCACTCCTCTCAGGTATCACCCAGCATCATCACCACCCGGAGAGTCTGCAGAACAAGAACAGAGCAGGAGAAAAGCTGATGTTCACCTTTACGGACAGGGAAATCTGCAGCTCCTGCAGTGACTGAGTATCAAAGAGCAGAGTGTTGCAGAAAAAGAGCAATCATTATGAGGAAATGAGGTTAGCTTTTACAGGGTTACAGTCTGCGGTCAGTTAAACAGAGAGCAGTTCTGATTGAGAGTTTAAAACAGAGAGATATAACAGAGGGTGCTGTGAAAGGAACTCTAAAATCCTCTGAGTAAATGACTTTAAACTGCGTCCTTTCTTTACTTAAGCATGGCTGCAATCTCTGAATTATCTGTTTGCACAAGATAAGGGAGAACTTCATTAACCCCAAAGCTTTTTTGGGGGGAGCAAGAATAGATCAAAATTACAGTAAAAATGTTAAATATAGAGGACCCTATCATTAATCCAAAGTGTCAGTGCTGTTCTCTGTCTACTAGATGAAGTCCTTATCTCTGGAGCTCTGGTTATAAAAACAGAATAAAAAAAGAGAAATAAAAAATAAACAATGACCTTCTTATCCCTAGAACACTATCGCTGGGTGATTTTTACCCGACCAAACATGTTTACGTGATTTTCATTATGTTGCGTTTGTCTGAGTATCATGGGTCCCTGGGTAGCTTCAGCATTGTCTTTGACATCTTTGAAGACATATTTGTTTCTTTGATCCAAAACCTGCTTTTTCCCACAGGCACGTGTTCCGGTGAGTTTCACCCGGCAATAGTGATAGAGGGTAAGTAGGGGCCTATTCTACGAAGCAGGATTACTGCTTAGTGAGGTAACTTTGAGGGTAAGTTCGGGGTTTCCTGTTCTACGACGCGAGTCTCCATGGCAACGTACGCTGAAAGGCGAACCTGCTCCGGGGCAGGTTAGGTTCCAGATTGAACTCACCAAGTATAAAAACCCCGCCCACTGACCAATGAGCTCTCTCGAAAAATGGCTTGTCCGTTCTTGGAGGATCCTATAGACCTCGGTGCTCGCGTTGTCCGAGGAGGAGCACTCCAGCGCGCGAGAGTTTTCAGGGACAGCACGGACCTACTTACTTTTCCGGATGACCACCTGTATGAATGAACAAATGAATGAATTCATCTTGGAAATGAATTAGACATGTCTGGTGCATGTTAAAAAGCGCATGTTGAACAGTGCTATTTCAGGGTGATAATGGCATTAAAGATTTTTTGCGCACCATACTGCCGCATTGAGACTGGCGGCAATTTTCCGCCAGCATTCCCTCCGTGCTTTTGCAGCGGCGACGGTGTTGCTTTTGAGGTTTATGATAGATTTGAATTCTTCATACTTTCTCATGATCATCTCCTGCTCCTCATTTGTAAAGTATGCGGTCCTTCGCTCTCCAGTCTGCTCTGATACTCCAGACTGGTCCATGTTCGCGATTGGTCAGATGCACCGGAGCATCTGCAATGCCTTATATCTGACCAATGCCATGTGCTCATAGCAAAGCTGGATCCGCTTACGAGGTTGATAACCAGCGTCGTAAGACCGTTTAGTGAGACCGCTGGCTACCGTGCTAAGTTGAGCGAGGTAGCTCCAAGGCTACCTCGCTCGGTTGAACTTGCTTCGTAGAATAGGCCCTAGGTTTGAGTGGATTTTATAGCTGCATGGGTTGTTGAATTTGCATGCTATCTCTATTTAGAATAACTGAATAACTTTGAATAACTATGACAAAAGTAGTGATTTTCAGGGGAATTCATGTGGTGATAAGAAATATTTTAGTCAGCCGGTCATTTTTACTCTCTCAAAATATGCCATATTTTGGTTCTCTCTCCTGCTGCTGTTATTGTGCCAAGGACCCTTCACCAGGGAAGACTCACATGCTTCAGGAATGGGTGGAAAAGAAACTAAGTTTACAGTTTCTATATTTATTGTTTTCTTTAAGAATTTTTTTTCCATGAATGCCTACTTTCAGTCATTTTGTTGCATTTTTATACGATCCCCTCATGGCACTTTTTTTCCTGCCTTTGGACATTGCACAGTTGAAAATAAATGAAAGCTGCTTTAATTTCTCATGAATTGCCCTATTTTTATATATTTTGATGACAAGCACCTTTTTTTGGATATATTATTTCGGGTAAAACTCACCCAGCGATAGTGATGGTGTTACTAATTTTAGTGATAGTGTTATAGGGTTAAGGTGGAAAGTCACTTGTCTGAACTGTGGTTTTGCAAGGTTCCTATTAACAATAAGGGTTGAATCACTAAGGCTTGAATATGTAAAAACATGAACAAATCTGATATTGCCTGCAAATGGACGCTCCTGCTGACAGGTTGCATCTCAAATGTGCAAGAGCTGCAGACTTTTATCAATTTGTGCACCAAACTGTGCCTTTGCAGAGATGTCTGTTGATTTGGGATGATTTGTGGAGTGGTCTGATTTATTTCTTGAAGTTTTAATAATACTTAGTTTTCTTGATTTCGTTTTAATAATGGTGTTAGCTTTCTTTCTTTCTTTCTTTCTTTCTTTCTTTCTTTCTTTCTTTCTTTCTTTCTCCAATGTTGCTTTTAGTTCCTTTAAGTAACATTTGAATGACTTTGTTTAAGCTCAAATATGCTTTTCCTCTTTCACTCGTACCTCTGATGGACTGTGACATCAAAACAAAAGTACAAACCAAACCGAGATTTGTGATGTGTACCATTAAACCCCTAGTAGGTATTGTCTTTAACTTATTTACTTCATGTAGAGTTTGGACTGACAACAGGGGGAAAATGAAATTCGGCCTCGTGAGAGGTTTAGTAAAAGAGAAAAAACATATTAGTGAGCTAAAACAAAGACATCTGAATATTACAGTAAGGAATAGGTCAAGTAAGAAAGCAAAGCTATTGATAATTCAAAAAGAACAAGTGGTAAAATCCAGATAACCAAAGAACAGTGGCTCATAATAAAAACTTTAGCAAATCAAAGAGGACAGGGCATTTCAGCTCTACCATGTCATTTACTCTTATTCTCTTGTCTTGTACTAGATCTGTATTTGAAACCGGCTTGTATTAGAGGCAGACTTTTATTTCAAATATTCTCTGCTTCTGAGAATGATACTTGTACATATTTGAGGGCAAAGTAAGGGCCTGATTAATTAAAAAAAAGGGGGCTGTGCAGCTTTTATACCCACTAAATCTGTGCAAATGAGCCAAGGTTACATTTTCTAACTCAAAAAGCATGCATGAAGGGTTTTAAATGCTCCACAAACTGCTCTGCAGAGCAAACATCATATCTGTGAGCCAGAGTTTGCAAACATCTAAATCAACCACTATGCATCATTAGGAGCAAAATATGCTCTTTTTTATACAAACAAGCCTTCCTGCAAAAATCATCTAATTCACTCTAACACAGGCACTACAAGCTGCACACAGTTATAGTGACAGTTTAATATAATAAATAGTTAATTAAGTGTTATATTTTATAGATATTTTGTGCGCTGTAATAAAAAGCTCTTAGCTGCTGCTGTCACAGGTCCCCAGATACCAGAACTATTAAACAAACAGAAATCCCAGCATGCTTTGGAGCGTTTGGTACTGTGTGGAGGGCTGAAGCTGTCAGCCATGGCTTTGTAATTGTCTGCTGTTTGTTTCCTCTTTTGTCTTGATGAAGATTTCTACCTTTATAGAAATAATCAGGACTGACAGACTGACAGAGAGAGGAAGGAAACAGCAGGTCAAACACTGGAGAGAGAAAGAAAAGAGAGAGACAGAGTGAGGGAGAGTAAAGAGAGGAAGGTTGGTGCTCTGCTGGATTAAACTGCTGAATGTTAAATTTAATTGCGTTAAGCTCCATTAAGTTGGCAGGAAAAAAGGAAGTGAGGAGCTCTGGAGAAGAAAAAAACATTTTCTCCCCCATTTTCCTGCTCCTTCCTCCTCATCTCTCAATTATAAAGGTAGTTAATGAGTTCAGCTTTATGGAGGAAACAGGGACAAAGAGGGAGGAAGCAACACGAGAGTAGACAGAAAACAGAAGTAACTGCCCTAGAGGACAAAAATGTCTGTTCAGAAATACTGAGAATAAACTGCAAGAGTCAAACTGGATTTTGAGTTAAAAACAGATTAAAAAGCTTGAGCATGTTTTTGTTCTTAAAGCTTCAGGTAAGCTGGTGATCAACTGACTGTATAGAGGCTGTTTGTGTTTGCTTGATCACGCCAATATTCATCATCATCATCATCATCAGACGTTGTAAAACCCCAAAAAGGCCACATTTATGTATCACATTTACAAAAATGTAGGATGTTTTTCTGAAAAAAAAAAGTGGTTTAAAGCTGGGTTTAGTAAATAATGCAGTCTGAAGAATAAACAGTATGGTGAACTGATCTACAGTAAAATCCACTCTATCTGCGAGACCGGCAGCTTTTAGGTGACAAATTTGATTGTTTCTGTAGCATCCAGGAGCTTTTCTATCACACTGAAAAAGTAAAATAGTCTCATTTTAGTTAGCTGACGATGATCAATACTCAATAGGTCCAGTAAGAAGCTAGACATCAGTCTTCTCATCATGCAGAAATGATAAAGATTGAACTGTCTTGAATAGATTCCTCATCATTTTTAGTTTAATTAAGTTTAAGAAAACCTGTGCTCTTTCTGATTTTAACATGAGGCTCTATGGGGAATGAGTCACTGCAGGACACAGCCTCTAGTGGACAATTGAGGAGCAGCAGTTTTCTTTTACTACTCCACAGTGGCTTCATTTTCACAACTGCAAAGCTTTCTACTTTGTTATGACACAGGCTTTAGGTGATTGAGTGTTTTATGAGGTTTGTGTTTGCATGATGCTGTTCATATTAAACTCTTGAAATCATCAGTTGCATTGTTTGCATCTTAATAAGTAATCATCATAATAATAATAATAATAATAATAATAATAATAGATAATCTGCTAATTTTAAATATGTAACATTTCATATTCTCTATATTTCTGTAAAGTAAATTATTAAAGTAAATTATTGCAGCTTTTGTGTTGTCATTCTCAGGATTTTGGCTCATAGCTCATGAAAATCAGAAGAATTATTAATGAAATCCATAATTAAATACAGAAATGTCCAACTTCCTAAGCACATGTTGATCTGTACACTTGCCTGAAGCTCCTATACCATGAATTCCTTTTTGTCTGATTTTTGTCTGAATATCTGATACGATATTCTGTTTGGTTGCAATGTAGCTACAAA